ATTTTCAGCTGCAGCAAATGTCTTCGACTGTACTCTAATGCCGTTAGCATTTTGTTCTGGGTCGGATGCCTGGTGTATCGTGTCCGTGCTTGGTACGGTTCCCTTTTGGTTGTGGTTGTCTGCTCATGGTCTCCGTGGAAAGAGTGGCGATGCTCCCTATTAGCGGCTTGTCTGGCATGGATGGCTGCTTTGACTTCCGCGTCCAACCAACGCTTTCTTCTTCTCCTGCCGCTGGTGCGTACTTTGGAATGTCACTTCACATTAAGGAGCAGTCACACTCTAAGAGAAAATGGAGGAGCAACGGCGCGTCTTCCTCCCTTCTACCGACGCGCCCCCAAGCGGACACGAGAAGAAGGGAGGAACGAGACGTTTTTCTCCTTCTCTAGGCAGACAGGAGAAAGCTTTCGCCCTCCCGACTCATGTTCTTTCGGTTTCGTTTTTCGAGCACGTCGCGTAGTTATTTAATAAATGTTGCTGAGTTGACTGAGCTTCAGCGGCAGCGAAGGCCGCCTGTAGTTCCGCCTTCCATTCCAAACGTGCAGAACATTTGGGCTGCATTGACGTTTTTACCACTAATTTTATCAAACGAGCAAACGAAGCCGCTAGAAACAGCTAAGTTCCGGAGCAGTGCCAGCAGCGCTACGTACACTGGGTAAGATGGCCGTTTCCGGATTGCGGGACCCACGCGGAACTGCAGTAGCGGAACCACGCGGAGCTGTGTCGACGTTTTCGACGTTATGGAAATCGCAGGAACTGCGTCCAAGACAAGCAGGTTTTGCTGCCGGCTGCCCGGGTGCCTTTCGAGCTGAGTTCGGTTCTGTTTTCCCATGCCGACAGCCAACCGGCAATCAACGCGGTTCTTTATTTCTGCGTATCAGCAACATAGGAGCAACATCGTGATGGCAGTGTTGTGCATTGTGAACAGAAGACTCGAAGCATCGCCGATGTGACGGTGTGTTCGCGTATCAGTGGTGTAACAACGAGATGAGTGGACGTAAACTGCCGGGCGTTGATGCCGCTGGTCGGGCCGTGATCGGAGAGGGTGGGGTGTCGGATGTTGACATTCCCCTTTGCATAAGAGAGTTTAAGACCGTTTGAGGGATTAGGTGCAGTCGATCGACGTGCGGATAGTCATGTTGGAACGCTGGTCTGAACAGTAAGCTCCTATCGTACAGTGGCCAATATGACTGTAGGTTGTCTCCTCCCCGAGAGCGATTGCGCTCTGGGGAAAGAAATGAACCGTACGAAATTATGAAGGAAAGTACGTATATTTGCAATGTGTAATTTTAGCACTAAAAACGATATTATACGGTTCCCGGAGGAACTGTCCGCCAAGTGGCGCGCTGGGATGAGCGCTAGAAGTTTTTGAGCTCGACACGGCGCAGCTCCGTACACTTAACATCTGCCGCAAGTCGCGGCTTTGACTGCATTCAAGTTGATCGAAAAGTGATTTCGCTCCCCGTGAAGCGTCACTTCCACCCGAGTGAATATCCGCTTTAGAGAGATGAATTCAAGACGGCAACTGCAGCCATGCGCGAACAGCACAAATAGAAAAACAAACACTACAATCGAAATACTGGCTACTATGTGCCGTGCGGGGAAACGAACTCATGGCTTGGAACCGAAATGGAGCCGATTGATTTGTTGGCTTCCAAATAATTACGGCTTGATCGAGCATTTTCTTTTTTTAAAAGATTTATCCCCTGAGCCATTCAAAATACTCTCGGAGGTATGACATTATGGAAATAAATCAACATGCCGGGAATATATTTTATTGCTTATTCAGTCACCGAGAAATTCCGTACGTTCAAAACGACCAGTAAGAAAGACGGAAACGCAGAGCTCGGGTGTAGTGATCGGGTTAGTGGGCCGTTGTATTGATGTTTGTATATGCCATGTATGGTGTATGCGCTCAGTGTGTGTTCAGCTGATGTTTGTAGTATGCGTAATGTGTCTACATGTGTGTATAATAGAGGAGCCCGATGCGCAATCGTGGCGTGAGGAAATCAAATTATTTTTTGTAGAATGTGAATTGGGCGGTACCCAGCGCTACCTAGCCTAGCTACTTGCAATTACTCTGCTTGCTACCATCTGGTGGAAAGCGATTTTACCTTCTTTCACACTACGCCATAAACAGCGGCTTCGAGTTTGTTCTTTGAGAGCGGCTTTTGGTTTCGCGAATTGTTTTGCCCTTCCTTCCTCCGTGAAGTGCGGTTGACGAAGGAATTGTGACTCAAGAAATAGCAAAGGTAAGACGTAAAGTGCGCGAAGTAACAGGGTATCGGTTGCCTCCGTTTAACGTCGCAGTACTGACGACGAGAATACTGAATAACTGCTTTTGAAACGCAAGTTTCTCTACCTGCGGCGGGAATCTCGCTTCGGAAATAAACACAGTTCGAGGAAAGCTCGTGTTACGCTTTTATTTACTGCTCCTCTCGTCCCGTACAAGAGATGTAGCCTCCTCGTTAAGCTTGATTGAGCTCGGTTTGCTCGATAAGGGGCCGCCATAATTAGATGCAGGCGACGAAGAAACTTTGCTCCCCTGCTTCAGGGACGAAAGTTTCTCCCTTTCTAGAGGGGCATGGGTTACAAGACCGTTCCTCCCCTTAGGGAGGACTATCGATACCCTTTTTTCTAGGAGTGCATGTAACGTGTGTAACCTGTAGCGACTCCCCTTTTATCACTTTTTTCAAATAGTTCCACCACTTTTACCATCTGTGATCTGTGTGTGTGTAACGTGTGTGTTTTACCATCTGTGAGATGGCAATGCGTAAAACCTGCTGAACTCACTCTCGTACTTTTTCAAGTTGCCCTGGTGAACATCAACTGAAACTGGTTGTGGTCGCTGCTTATGTTATGTTTACTACCCTCGTGTATGCCCGTGCTTTCAGCTCGTGCATATAGATTTCATACTTTAAGCTCCTTCTTTTAATCTAGCACCTTCATCACTGCGATTGCAAAAGCGGAGCAGGACAGAACGGAGAAAGTAGCGTCAGTTGGGAGCAACAATCAGGATGGCCTCCCTCATACCTCCAAGTATTTGCTAAGCCTACTTCTTCACGGGCTTCAATCTCCGTTTCTGTGAGCCCCTACTGGTATGGCAGTTCCGATCTGCGCCACCATAAGATGTCCGCGCAAAATATTATTTTAAATTCACCCGCTTACCCCTTTTGAAGTGCCCGCAATTTAAATTATTTCGGGACCGCACTGCAACCGAGAGACACGTTCAATTTTTCTCTTGAGACTACAGCGCCATCCATTCGTCCGATAGCGCCCTCTGGTGTCTGTCATAGTGCTGAGGTAATTGATCTTTCATACCGATTTTAATAGAAAAGTCGGCCACGCATGAATGCAATATTTCATTTTCTACGGTGCTTAAAGCCCATGAGTTAGGGCCATAAATAGACCATCGAAACAGAGAGATTCTGTAAATAACAGTGAGAGCGCAGGCGAGCTCAACGTTACTGAAACAAGGTCAGTTTCGCAGCTCCCTATTCTCTCCTGAACAGGCGAGTGGCCCAGGTGGACGCCACCGAGCCCACGTCGCAGGCAGAGCTGTGAAACTGAGCTTGCTCCAGTAACGTTGGGCGAGCTGGTATAGCATTACCTTTAAATTTCCCGAGACTAGGGCGAAAAAACTAAGAAGCATCAAAACGTGGAAGAGAAGGGCGTTCCTAATCACTTTGCCTTTTTCTTCCACGTTTTGATGCTTCTTAGTTTTGTCGCCCGTCTCGGGTAATTTAAAGAAATGAGTATCTGTGTCGTCTTTTTTTTTTAATTTTATCTCGGCTGAGGGTTTAAATTTTTATGTTTCCTAACCAGCTCGTCTGCGTACTTTCGCATCTTGTTTTAATGCCCCTATAAAGGCGCCGTCACACTGATTACACATCCCACAAAAACACAAAGTTTGCTGCAGACAATAAGTTATCTTCAAAAACGCCACAAGCAAGTTCAAACCATATTTGCTTCGATGATGTCTGAAGACAGTCCCCTACAAGAAAGAAACATACCGCAGACAGTACATGCAGTCTATCTTTTGTAAGATGTTTTTTTCAGTGGAACCACGGCGCTGGCCGACCTACGTTCACGCCGGGGCGACTCTAAAGTCATGAGGGTGGCCCCGGTATGTTAACCTGCTAAACAAGAGGTTGAAATAAACCTATTTATCCCTGCGAGAGCCCCCGTTGAAGCACCAATCTCTAGCGCCCGTGAGGACCTACCTAGACCTAGCGAAGAGTTGGAACAGGCCAGCCGCGTTCCAATCCTTTCTAGCGGCCTGACTCCCACTCCAAAGCGCAACATGACCCTCCCAGCTCACAGATCATTTAAAAAAGCATAGAACATTGAGGAGGCACTAGAACAAGATGATTGGTACAGTCTACGTCTTCTTCCCTCTCCTATTGTAGTTATGTGTTTACCTGTGCACGAACTCTGACACGTCGGGAGACCCCAAAAAAACGTGCCCCAGCATTCTGCCCATATTGGAAGCCGACCGAAAATGTTTTATAAATTTAAGGCAGGTCACATATTCGAAAAAGCAAGCAAAATATTGGGTCGTGACGGGTTGTCGTGAATGGAGATTGAGTAATCTAAACCATAATAGTTCGTAATGGGATCCCCAGATGCTTTGCGCTGCACAACGCCGCTAGGAGCGCTCTGATTCTACAAGACGTCTATTGTCACAATGCGGCAGTCGGATGCATCGATTAGCATGCCGGTGGCACCCTATGCGGCATTTGGAACTTTCCTCTTCCCCTAAACTAGGCCAGCTCATATTGCAGCCGAATGTACATCGCACTGGTAATCACCACCCTTCGTGTAAAAAAAATAATAAAGCGGCGATTATGATAATCACTTAGGTTAGATGGCCTCTAAGGACAGTTGACGTGCAAAAAAGAAATGTATGCCCATGGGAGTTACTTTTCTTAGCCCGTTTTTGCCGGTAGAGGGCATCGGAACCTCATCACGAGAACGTACTGGGACACAAAGTATGCACCGACCGGAAGGAAGAGTCTCTGCGTAGAGCAGGGCACGAACAGTTTCTTCCACGTTTCGAAGTCCTTCTTGGGGAACATGACCAAGCGCAGATCGTAGGTGATCCGGTTCAAGGCACTCGCTGGCCACTGCATGATCTGGACGATCAGATTAACGCAAAATTACTCTGCGTAAAAACCATTTTCATAGCAAACGAGTCCGTGCTCTAGTCTTTGAGGTATTAGGGAACTTTCGGTACACAAAAAGAATGAACAGAGTCCACCTTAACACCGCTGCTTGAAATGTCGATGAAACGTTTAACCACCGATTTTCCAGGTGAACGCTAAAAGAACAAAGAGGCTCGAGGGCTGCTGAAATTTTTTAAATATTGTAAACTAACTAGTCTCCTCTAAGCCGTTAAATTGTACAGCCGAAGGCCCTCGTTAAATCTCCAACTTTGTTGTCCGTGTCGCTTTTTTACTTTCTAGCACTAGTGGCATAAGCATGCTCGACAGGTTTGCAGAGAAGGAGCGACCGGAAGTCGCTTAGCACTCAAGCGGTGGTTTGTGTTTGCAAACAGTAAAATGGTCCACATGCAGGCCACAGTGTAAGACGAGGGTTGAATCGGAACAAGGTCACAAAACCCGAAATTCCAATTGGGCTTTGCGCATATCCCAGCGAGGTGCTGTCGGGTTCAAGCTCCCAGAGTCGTGTATTAGGATAGTTTGGCCTTTCATTGGGTGTGAAGAGGCGAGCATCTCGTGGCCAACTACAGGCCGCAAAGCACACCTTAGTGGCCGTCGTGCGCTCTAAAAATGCGACTCGACTATTCTAAGCCGTTTTAGCGTCGCTACAGTAACATGGTGTAACTCTTGGTGACTGAAAACTTGGCGCGTGTGAGGTTTTCGTCACGTCCATATTCAACAGTACAATAAACGAACGTGAGCTTCAAACCAGAGAAAACTGCGCAGTTGCAATAATTTCTACTGCGAGATTGAACGCTTCTATTTCACGCATTAAATGTCGCTTTGAATATTGCGACGTCGAGGTCTGCTGATTGGTCGACGCTGTGTCGCACTTTTAGTTTACGCTCTAACCGCGGAGTGAATATTCGGCGCTGGCGGCGGCCTTTGCTCCGCCCATTGGCGAAACTCTCCCAATAAACGGCTCTGGGGGCTCGTTGCGCAGGCGCGGTCGCGCGCCGGCTTTGAAAACGTGTGCGCGAATGAGGACAGTTCCTCGAAGTCTTGCCGTGCTGCGTCATCTCACGGCATTTATCATAAGTGGAAACGAACTTTTGATACACTTGCTCCGTGGCGAGGCGGAGCCGTTCAAATGCCTGACCCGTCTTTTACAGTGCTGCAGACTGTCCACAACAGAGAAGTAAACAAAGGAGGTCAAACACATGACCTATTCTGGTCTTGTGTTGAAATGACATTATTGCAGCATTAGTGAGTGTCAACCTGCGAGGGACGTTCTTTTCTAATCCGTGAAATTTAAACGACGCAAAAAAATAAAATCCAGCATTGAGAGGAAAACGTACGAAATCAGCTAGATATGGGAACTGAAATTGGGCCACCGGCCTCAGTCTGGTTCATAAACAGCCAGAATAGGGTTCACACACTCCACTTGTAGGTTTGTTTGCTTTTTGTTGCAGGGAACATTCTGACCACACGCAAAAGATGCGACTATAATAATCCGGTGTTTGATTTACAACTCTTGGTCAATAATGATGAAGTTTATGAGTTTTTATTCAATGGAAGCTGAACCGTCTTTTTGAAAAAAAAAACAAGTTAGAGGTAAATCATAAAGTATTTTTATCCTGTGATTCTGAATATTAGGCTCGTTTTTTTCCGAAAGATGCAACTAAACGGGAGAATGCAAAAAAAAAAAAAAAAAATCTGACCAGTCGTTACGTTTTACCCAGATCTTTCGGCCCCCAAGCGCGTGTCTTCTATTTTCGGCAGCGCGTGCAATTGCAAGCTTGCCAAGTATTCGCCTCGATATTCGATTGGCGCGACTGTGGTGAACAGCAGAACCACTCTTTGTTTTTCTATTACTTGGTGAAAACTCTAATGATACGGCATAGCATCCGCTATATACTCACAAAGCCTGGCAGTTCGATGACGGAGCCGTAAAGTGCCCGGTCGCAGATTTGGAGCGTGAGGACCAGGTAGCAAAGAGCATCTCTAGGGGAACCTGGACGCCAGCGCACAGCTTTTGCAGCGGCGAGGACCGGAAACATGGTTTTTAAACCCGACGAGAAAAGAAACGGTATCGTGAGCAAAGCGAGGAGCACCAGCGGACATTCCATCGCTCGAGAGCACTGTGTTTCGGCGTCTCGCCGCAGCGAGGCGCCCGTCACGTCGCTCTCCTAGAGTGCCTTCATACACACGCGCGCTCAGACATGTAGGCACCCTACGCTCTCCTAGGGTCCCTACATGTCTGTCTGTCTCAGGGTGAAGACATCTATTGTTGCCCTGAATGTGCCAGCGCGTGACGCTCTGGCGCTCTCGGTGCGTGACTTGAGCGGTAAAATGGCGTCTATGCATTAGCCAAAGCTAAGCGCTCGAGCTGAGTAACACCGGATGGCGCGCACTTCAAAATGCATAAAGAAACGATTGGGCGAAAAGATATCTGAGCTGTCACTACTGAACCAAGAGCGCGCGTGTATATGAAGGCACTCTAGGCTCTCCTCTCCTCCGTTGTCTGCCGCTCCAGGCTTTGTAAGTATAGACGAGGCTATGGCTGGGGACGCGGGGCCGAAGATATTGTTAGGTGCCAATGCAGCGCACGCGCTCTACAATCAACTGCTAAGAGCTCGTGCTCTGTACCCTGGCCCGTGCTCTGTGCCGTTCGTGTGGATGCTTTGTCACCACCAGAATTTTGGATAGAGGGAATCGTTACGTGCCTTATAGGGAGTATTCACTGGTGGCCATAGTTGTGTGCGCGACTGCTGAGTGCGTGCTGGTGGCGAGCTTTTACGGTTCTCTTGCAACGTGCATTCCGCACCCTCAAAAGTGTCGGTCTTAGCAGCCAATTAGTGTGGGCTCGTTCTGAGCATGCGCTCTGGACAGCACGCAGGAATATGGCGTCCAGTGAATACTTCTTATCGACAATCATGAACACAAAGTTGCATGCATGGCGCCCCATTGGTAACCCAAGCGTGCACGCTTGTTCAGTGTGCGTGTAAACATAACCTCGACAACCTTGCAATTGTAAGCACTTTTTCGCAGGAGCAGATACATGCTGGAGGTCAGGCGACCTTCCGTATCGTCTATTATCAAGAGCACGCTTCCCTTCAATTGAATCTGGGTATCGAGGCAAATATTCATCCACACTGACCCCAGTCGTCACTTATTTTTCTTACCTTTTGTTTGAAAATAGCAAGAGTGCGCGTGCATAACTTCGATAGATGCTGAAGATGCGGAACAGCGTATATTATAAAAACTCCGAATGTGACGTCACGCTCCGAAAAATGGGGGCCTCAGCGGTATACTTTTAAAACGATTTTCTGCAGCCTCCCTGCATCAAATTGAAAACTAATCTGGATACTCGTGATCCTGGAGGTCAAGTGAAGACGATTTAAGCGCTTTTCCTCGAATAAAGAACCGCTTCAGTTCTCGTTCAGATGCATTGACTGCACCTTTCACATTCAAAAAGATGCTGAAATTTCAGATTATAGCTCGAGTGATACACAAGAGTCGTTTTTTCGCCAAACGTCTACTACGTATAATTTCGGCCTGGTTGCTGGCTTTTCTCGTAACTAGCCTGGATTAGTTTTCCGGTGATTTGTAGCGACTAAGCCGTAGGGTACGTTTTATTTTATTTTTTAACCGCAGCATTGCTAGTACATTATACAAGAAGACACTGTGTTCGTTACAGACATATCAATTGCACGATCTCGCAGCCTATAGGGAGTATTCACAAGCGGCCATAGCTGTATGCCCAAATGCTGAACTCGTGCTGATGGCGAGCTTCCACAGTTCTTTTGCAACGTGCATTCCGCACCATCAAGAGTGCCGGTCTTAGCAGCCTATTGATGTGAGCTTGTTCTGAGCATGCGCTATAAACAGCACCCACAAATATGGCGTCCAGTGAATACTCCCCATAGGAGGTATTCACTGGACGCCATATTTGAGGGTGATGTTTAGAGCGCATGCTCAGAACGAGCTCCCATTAATAGCCTGTTAAGACCGGCAACCTTGATGGTGCTAAATGCACGCTCCAAAAGGACTGCGGAAGCTCGCCGTCAGCACGCGCTCAGCAGCAGCGCACACGGATATGGCCGCCAGTGAATACTCCCTATAGACCGATCTCACCAGCCACAGAGCCGTATATGTAGAGAGTTTGACCATTCGTTGGGAGGCATAGGAGACAAATGAGGGGGCGCCATTAGGCCGAAAGCGGGCTGGGCGTGTTCCAGGGCGTCTTCAGAAATTCGAATGTGACCAACCAGATGCCCTAAATAATACCCTGGCGGTGGTCGCGAGAAACAAACCTGATAACTGCAGTGGAATAACTCTCGATGGCTGAAAATATGGTTCACGTGATATTTCAATCACGTTCATCCGATATGATTGTGGAAGAGTGCGACTAGCGGAACGATCGACATAATCCGTACGCCAAGTGTCGAGGGCCGGGAATCTGGTGTCCGAGCGGTTGCACTCTGTCCGCGCAAAACAGAGTTGAGTGGCGCATTCGTTTCTTACATCTTTCTGCATGATCATGATCAAAACAACACGTGCACCCTATTTTCAACCACGAAGAGTTACTACACCTCACTCTTACGCGGCTATTAGCACCATTTAGTAAAACATATAAAATAGCGCAACAGAAAGACGAGGACAAGAAGTATACAGGACCTTGTCTTTCAGTTGCGCTATTTTATATGTTTTACTAAGATGAACCAACTAGCCTAACAACGTACCTTAATAATACCATATACGAACATACACCTTTGATCAGAACTGTTTCTCGCTACCACCGCAAGGGGATTCTTTTCGGCTTCTGGTTGGTCAAGAGAGCATGCCATGCCCTCTTTCCGAGTCTGCCGCATGCCCTGGCTCTGCCCGCGCCTCCCATTGACCAAACTCTTTACATATACAGTACAACCGCGCAGTACAACCGCTAGCCTGGGGTCTTTAACGTGCACCACGCAGTAGTGATACACGACCGCACGCCGGTACGATGCTCATCCAGATCGAAACGGGCAGGGGTGGGGATTGAGCCCAGGATCCCTGGGTTCTGCAGCGCGAGCTTTCGCTCCACGTGCTCCGAGCTGGTGTGCGCTAGCCCACTCGGCCACCGATCCCCCTTAAGCCCAGTTCGCCACGCAGTTCATCGCACAGCCACCTTACCACGTATTTCGAGAGGCGATAGTGTTGTTGAAAATCAACGTCGTCTATGTCAAACACAGTGGCGTGGCTTAAGTACCTACACCGACGGCGAAACACGCACAAAAACGCTGCCATTTTGGACGCTTCTCCCTCATCTCGCGCCCAACTCGCCCAAACTCGCCTAGGTCGGAGCCGGCAAGCTTTTCCTATCCGCGGCGGCTTTTGTCACGTCAGAATGACGTCACAGCATCTTGCCGCGAGTTCCGAATATGCCACTGTCCGACCGCCTCAAACCCTCCGTTCTGACGTCACGATCTAGGGAGTGACGGCGCGTGTCGTCATGCACGGCGATAACCAATCGCGGCGAGCGGCGAGTTCGGTGGAGAACTCGCCTTGATCTCTCCGAGCCGAGCTTAGCCCCCCTGTACTCTTTCTGCACGCCCAACATCCCAGCTGACGGTCTGCGCGGGGAGAGCACGACGCGGCACGAACTGTCTCATGCGCTCGCGCCCGCCTCTTATGAACTACCACAGCCGCCTACATCCTGAAACTAGAGTTATGGCGGCGTCAAGCAGACGTAGAATCGAGAGCGAGGTCTGTTTATTATCTGCGGAGACGCCTCAAGCGCGTTCGAAACATGTATGTTTTGAACATGCTTTGAAAACATTTTTAGGCAGTTTTTTCAACATCGTTATACAAGACAGGAACACTACTCAGACAGTGTCTGCGGACTGTTTCCCTTGTGATGTTTCAGCAGTGGACCGCGGGTTTACGGTGCACAAAACTACGCCGGGCGACGCTGTAGTTACCCTGTCTTGAAGGCGCTTGATGTTCTCAACATCGGCGTACAGAATAAATCTGAGTGGAACCCTCGAAAATGCGACGGCTGACTTGAGATTGGCCATGGTGATTTCCAAGCCGTCCGCACACGTCACCACCACCATCGTCAGAGGTACCCTGCGTTGGTATTAAAGTATGTGTGTGTATTAATAGAGTAGATCCACCAAACTGATAAGGATTTCCCAATTTCCGTAGACGCTGATTTAAACTGTTTTGTTTACTGGCGGTTGCACCTACCTTTCCTGTGTTACCTGAGGTAGCATGGTCGGGCTCTCGTCGTGAGAGCACCTGCAGCCGGTACCAGGCACCCCGTTGGACCACAGACTTGCGAGTAGAACCAGACACCCGACGAGGAAGAGCGCGGCCAAGGAGCATCGAAGCCAGAATGGTGCGCCGGGCATGTTTCTCTAAGTTACGCAGGACACTCAAAACCTCACTTGCTGTTTAACCTCAGCGTGGTTTCCCAACTTGTCACCTAACCTAACTGAAATAAAGCGTTGCACGCCACCGAGACGCCAGGATCCAGCTTTTGTCTTGCGGAGAAACTGGAGAAAAGAAGAAGAAAAAAACATATCCGGACGATTTCGAGGTAATATTCGAAACGGGGACATTTTATTTTTACTTTTATGACACGTATTGTAGAGCGATATTTCTTTAACAAAATAAATTGTTGCCGAAATTGCCGCAGAGGTTTAGTTCACATAGGTCGCATTTTGCACCGTCTTGTATTGCGTCAGTGTTTATTTATGAAACTGCTCAGAAACTGCTGTGGAAATTCCATTAATAAGTTTCGCCGGCGCTGCTGTGCCAATCATCTTATGATGGTACAAACTGAGCGAGAGGAGGAGATAAGAGTGCGCGAGTGACCTCAGAGCGCAGAGTTCTGGTTTGAATGATTACGAAGACGGAAAGCTAGCTGTCTTTATCTCTACTTACTATGAGAATGCGTTCGAACGTCGAACGCTCCCGTTCAGCGTTCCGTGTTTGAGTACGAACGAGTTCGAACACTGAATAGAGAAAAAGGCAGCTAGCTTTCCGCCTACCCACTAATCGTTCGAACCAGAGCGCTGAGGTCTAACGTCTTCGCGCGCTCTCATTTCCTTCCTTCCCTCGTTTTCTACCCGTATTGTCGCTCGACAGCCGATAAGATGGCATCGCAAGCTGAGGGGAACACCGTAGAACATAATCACAAAGTGAGAAAGAGAGATGTGCTGCACTGGCATATCATTGAGATGGTATATGTAGTAAATAGTGTGACGCTGGCACAACGGAAGGCCTTTTGTTTCTTGTAGGGTTCCGCAGCAGTGGATTGCGTACGGACCACAGATGCACGCGTGACACATCGCATTGTAATGTACTGCAATCTTCTGGGGACCGTATTTTAGAGCGCAGCTCTTAGGCTCCCGATTCCGGCTCGAGCGGCGTCGCCGTCGCCGTCGGTGTCGGCGTAACCGTGAGGTGACGTAATCCTCCCCTGAGGTCACCTGACCCCCGTGACGTGACGGGAATCACGGGAGAGGAGGACACAAGGGGAGGAGGTTGAAGGATGAGGGGAGGAGGAGGAGGAGGAGGTGAACTAGGAGGAGGGGAGGAGAAGTAGCAGGCAGGATGAGGAGGTGAGAAGGAGGGGTATACCGTCCTCTCAGTAACCTTCCAACCTCCTCCGCAAGGGCTGCGCTCTAATTTGGCGTTACAGGGAGTTGTAAACGGCATTAATTTTTGTAAACAACTTATTATCATCGGACGAAAGGAGCAACTAGGAACTTTCAACAGATGATGCTATGTCTTTTACAAAAATTAAAAATACAATACTGCCCACAACCGATCCCCGAGCAAAACCAGACGTTGAAATAAAGCTGTGAGAGAAGCTGTCCACATCCCAAACGGTGTTTGTGGAAATAAGAATTAGGTCTTAAGCCAATTATATAACTCTGGACAAACACCATTTAAGAATATGATGAATATGAGAGGAATAAGAAACACCAAAAGCTTTGTACATATAAAAAAAGATGTATTCCATCAACTTCTCGCCGATTCGTTACAAATAGAGCGCAATAATCCAAATGTACGAAGGATGGTCTCCACAAAAGGTCTACTCAGGAATTTATGCTGTAAAAGACAAAAAAAAAAAACGCGTATAAACGGCGATTTCAAAAAACGTTAGCAAACCCACAAATCAAAAACAAGGAGCAGGTACGTTTATCTTCAAAGTCCTATATGTCCCGCAATGTACTATGTAGTGAGAGGAAACCTGTTAAAACGGAGACAAGAGGAGAGATGTGTCAGCACTCCTTCCAATGTTATCCAAAAAAGAACTAGATTACTTAGCCGTACAATAAGTTTTACGGTTTAGCTTCCTATTTCAAAAACACAGGAAGAAGAAGGAAGACAAGGGCACATTTTTTCCATAGAAACCCTAGTCCACAAAGAAAGACGAAAACACAAATTTTAAAGATAACCTAGAGTTGTCGGTCAGCGCTGTGTAAGTGGCTCTTTCTTTTGTGTGCATGAAAGCTTTAGAGTGCTTGCTTTGAAGGTGCGCTGTTTCCTTGTCAGTAGAGAGAGGAACCGTAACGGTCCCCCCGTCTACCTACTGCATTACGTACATTAAATACAATGGGGTCGCTTTTTCTACATTACTGCTCTACATACTGCAAAATTCGAATTCCAAATGTACATAACTGAAATTGGGCACACAAACGTCGTTTCGGAGGAAGATTTAAACCTATTTTTTTCTCAACTCATAGGTGATGAAATAATGAAACTATAGCAAGCACGTCGTCCGAGCCTTTCCTAGGTCCTAAACGAGACGTTCATCGCCTGCACACTGGTTTGCGAACTTGCACCAGGGGGGTCATCGTCCATCAACTGCGTTAAAATTGTTACTTATCGGGATTATCCTGCTGATCGCCAGTCTCTACAACGGCGTTCTCAGCGTTGTTGCGTTCAACATGAGCTTGCGAACACGTGCGCAGACGACGAACAGGCTGGTATAGAACATAAGACATGCCAGGCCGCCGTTTTCGCTCTATTTTGAACATTGCAATACCCGTGAGCTGATCTTTAAAAAAAATGTTAAAAAACTCGGCAAAAGTGTTTACAAAAACCCGTTCGCGTGTCCAGTTTCAGGGATGTACCTTTGCGGTTCAATTTTCACAAGGCAAGCCAAATGTGTTGGTCATTATGGCAGCTTCCTGCATAAGGAGCGATCGTCGAAATTACTTGAGAAGGCATTAGGCAGTCTTTTTGGGAGTGAAGACTAACTTTTTATTTATCAGTTTCACCATTAAATTTATAAATGAATATTAGATTGGTGCATACGTCATCTGATATCAATTTTCCCGCAACATTTATATAGGAAACTGAATACACATTTTGCCAAACTTACTGCACCATCCGCGGTGTCGAAAGGAATTACGGGAAGTCAAGGCACAACCGATTCTAGCAGACGACAGAGGTGACCTCAGGGGCGCGAAGACCGGGTGAGGGTAGGCGAGCACAGCGCTACCGAACACTTGACTAAGGAATCGATCTTTCCAATGACCTTGGAGCCGGCAGCGTTTCCGTACTAAGCACGCCTGGACGCGCGTAGCACACACGCTCACGCGTACAGGCCCCCGCCTATCTACCTAGACTTGCGAGCCACCCATTTTACCTCAATTACCGCTAATAAAGGTTGTTATTACTAGTAGTAGCAGAAGTATGGTAGTAGTAGTAGTGCTAGAATTAGCAGTCGTAGTAGTTAATAGTAGAGGTACTGGAATGATTATTCTCTCTCACGTGGACGGTCCACGCTGATGGGGAAAGATTTTGCGCTGTTGGCGCGCTGTATACTGCAAATAAAATTATAAGAATCTATTATGCTACTAACGTTACTGGCTCTACCCTCTCGCTTTCTTAGTATCGCGTAGAAATGCTGCGGGGGCAACTATGAGCGCACAGGAAGAACATCGCGCGGGGCCTTCTTGAATTTTCAAAGGTTCGCATTGGGGCTTATATCAGATGTGGTCAGTTTACCCGCTAAATTTGGTGGAGAAAATGAATTTGTGTTCAATTCACGTGACATGAGGTCATGTGTCGTCATTTCACCACAAACTATAGTGGAAAACTAAATTGGCGTACAGGTCAGGTGACGTACAGCTCTCCCCTAATATAACGGGGAAATTGAAATGATAGGCACTCCATGTGACTTCGATTTCCACTCTAACATATGCGGGGAAACTTAATTGCTACGTGCATAGATCACGATTCGTTGATTTCGCCGCCCAAATAAGCGAGGAAACTGAATCAGTCTATAGGCCACGTGACGTCGATTTTTCCTTAGGGAGAAGGTGAAGTGTGATTTAGGTTCCGTGATGTCAATATCTTCGCAAAATTTGGCCGGAGAGCAAAATTGGTGTATACGGCACACAACGTCAGGTCACGTGAAGTCAATTTCGGCTTTAAATTTCGCGGCAAAATGCTCGGACGGACGGTCGAACAGAAAGACACATTTCTGGGAGTAGAAGGTTCCGTTCAAAGAGGATCCCAAGCTTCCAAAATCATTCCGCTTCATGTCCACACTCATAGCAACACTCAGATACGAAAAAAATGAAGAGAAAAAAAGGCTCCCCACCTGCCGCCGCAGGCGCGGTGCGCCTCACTGTAGGAGAACGTCTGCTACTCCGAACCGTTTAAAAATATTTACAGCTACCAAAATGTTTTTTTTCTTTGTGTATGTGTGTGCACGCGTGGAGCGGAAATTGCAGTGCCTTCGACACGGTCGATCGCTGGCACACAGGATGTGCAGCGGCAAAGGGTATGGGCGAACGTGTCGTCTATATTCTTCTCTGCGTTCCTATTTTAGGGATCGGTGGCCGAGTGGTCTAGCGCACACCAGCTCAGAGCACGTGGAGGGAAACTCGCGCTGCAGAACCCATGGATCCTGGGTTCAATCTCTGCCCCTGCCCGTTTCGATCTGAATGAGCATCGTAAAGGCGTGCGGTCGTGTATCACTACTGCGTGGTGCACGTTAAAGAGCCCAGGTTAGCGGTTGTACCGCACTGGCTAAATTGCTCATCTACAGCTGAGATCAGACGCCCACTGAGGCAGAATAACTTCCGGCTGTATAAACATACACACAACAGTACGTATCTTTTGAAAGATCACCCATCTAATGTCGGCACACGAGCTACAGAAAGCAACAAATACGCACAAACTATGGCAGACAAAAATCAGATTATCAAATACCTGTACTTCTGAATGACCACCCTGATCTCATGAGTCATGACCATTGTTCTGGGAGGTATGTAAATACAAGCTTTAAAGAAAAACATAAATGTTTATCTGTTGTCCCTTCAAAAATAACTATTCTTTTTGGTGCGCGTATGTTGTTTTTTGTGCAGCAATTCTCTGCGGGCTTAAAGAAATGTCTTTGTGGAAATGGCTGGCTGGCTCCACTATGTTCTTCTGTGTGGCCGCTTTATTTGCCGTGTTTGTGCAGGCATAAATATTGATGGGCGTCGTTGTTGTTTGTCCAACTTGGGGGACAACGTGGTTTTAGTTCCTTGGTTTCGTATCTTAATACCGCGTTTTGTACTGCTTATGGAATTTGTGTTTGATCTTTCATGTTCAAGTAGTTTTCGTCCTCTGAGACTTTCAATTTGTCTGGCCATGGAGAGGGGGAGGGGGGAGGGGGCTGTCGCCTTGTTAGGCATGCCGATGCCTTTTGTGGCGGCCCTCCAGACAACTGTATTCCTCGACGGTTGTCTGTATAAACTTTGATTGACTGATTGATTGCTTTGCTTCCTATTTCGTTTTCTCGTTCTAGGCCTAGAGACGGTTGCGGGTATTGGTGGCTGGGCGCATTAAATCCGCGATTAAACTTTGAAAACCGCAGTCATACAGCCTATACATCGTAGAAAAGGCACAGCGTTCACTGCAGACATGAGCTCCGAATCGTCTCCGGACGCGCCACACGCATGATCGAAGTATATGTTAGCCTCATGCGTACGTATGAACATGTCTGCAGAAAGTTTTTGCATGACCATTTTTTTTTTTTTTTTATGATGGTCCCGTCGTACAAGTGTCATACAAGGAAGAAACGCGCCTCGGGTATTGTCCGCAGACTCAGAGAGAAAAAGAATTTGGAGCTGGTTACACACTGAGGTCCATCCTCCTGTTGCTGAATTGCTACAAACAGCGTGAAGTGACCGAAAAGGAAGATCATAATTATATTTAAAAAAGGCACATAGAAAACAAAAAGAGAGAGAGAGACAGACCATACAAGATAAAAGTGTAACCCCAAAAAAATACCTAAAATCAAATTGCCAGAAGTGTCATTTATAATATCATTTCAATTTAACTCATATAAAGTCGTTGGTGCTGGTGAGTATTCCTGAGTAACTTCGCAATACATAATATAGTTCGATGTAGTGTGACCGCAGAAAACCTTAAACGTTTTGGACGAGCCTAGGTCGTCAACCTCGAGCCGCCGCCAAACCGTTTAGGACGAGTGTAGCTCGTCTGTCCTGCCTCGTTCGTCCCTTGACCATTTCAGACGACCCACGATCCATTATAACACAGCTTGATATGCTGCCGACAGATGGCAGCACAGGTACCTGCATCTTGCTTCTACTTTGTTTATGCATAGCCTCCTTTATATTCACAAAGCCTGGCAGTTCGATGACGGAGCCATAGAGTGCCCGGTCGCAGACTTGGAGCGCGAGGATCTGGTAGCACAGAGCATTTCTTGGGGAGTCTGCTATTCAGCGCACAGCTTTTGCAGCGGGGAGGACCCAAAACATGATTTTCAAACCCGACGAGAAACGAAGCGGTAGCCCGAGGAACGCAAGAAGCACGAGCGGGCATTCCATCCATTGCTCGGAAGAAGTGTGTTTCGGCGTCTCGCCCCGCAGCGGGGCGCCCGTAACATTACTCTTGTCCACAATGTATGTATGTATGCATACATACATACATACATATATACATTGTCTGCCGCTCTACCTTTTCACCTTTGGCGGCCGCGTCATGTGACGATCTGCCAGGCTTTGCCAGTATATATGCTATGGTTCGTGTTTTTTTTTTTTTCTTTTGGAATCAAACGATTGAAAAATGGCGCCCGGTGGCCCGGGCTCATCCAACGGAAAAAGTAGGTCTTCTTCCGAGAAAGGCTTCTATTACGACTCGAATACTGGCGTCTACCTGGGTTTTTTAAGTAAAGAAGACAGTAACTACGACGTCCAACTGAGCAGCTCCTCGGACGAAGCTGAGGACTACAACGACCCAGATCGCGCTATTGCCGATGCTCAGTAGTGATCGAAAATTTACATGAACAATGTACCAGCAAAACCCCCTCGGTTACCATTTTTTTTTTTTTGGCAGCCCGGATAAGATATTTTCTGTCAAATCATCTAGTGACCCGCTTGAGTACTTCGAAACTTTTTCTGGACGATGGCTTGGTCCTCCTAATAGTTAGAGAAACCAACCGACACGCTGAGCAAGATCTCAACGCCAGTCAACTCATTGGATATTTTCGCCTCATTAAAAGGATACCAGTAACGACGGAAGAAATGCGGGTTTTTGTTTGGCTCTTGCTATCGCAAGGGATTGTGCAAAAACCGGAGCAAGAGGGGTACTGGTTGAGGAACAAGCTTCTGCACAGGCCAATCTTTGGGGAAGCGATGAGCGGCAACCAATGCCAGCGGGGCTATGTTGCACGTTTTGGACTCCCAGGAGACTAGGGAGAAGGAAGTGACGTCAACGACTAGAGCAAACGCAGATTGGATGTTAACAGAAGAAAATGAAATCAACATCCAATCTGCATTTGCTGCGCTGTTAACGTCACTTCCTTCTCCCTAGTCTCCCGGGAGTCCAAAATGTGCAACATAGCCCCCCAGCTAATTACGAGGATGCTTCACTTTGTGGACCACGAGAGCTCGACTGATCTTGGGACTCATCCACAGCCCAAACTCTACAAGATATGGCTATTTATGTCTCATTTGGTGAAGAGGTACCGCGCGGCCTGCACAGTAGAGAGAGACATGGCTATCAACGGAAGCCTCATGCGTTTCATAGGCAGGTTGGGTTGGGTGCAGTACCTTTCATTGAAGAGGACACAGTTTGGGATAAAATTATTCGTGTTGTGCGAGGCAGCATCAGGCCCTACATGTAACAGTATGTTCTACACTTGCGAGGGTAGAAATCGGAGCAGTCTTATTCCGGTTGCTCTTTAATCTGTGATGGTGACAAGGGTTGTGCTGAAGTTGATGGAGCCACTCCTTGTAAAGGGGTACTGCGTGACCATCCACAACTTCTACACACCGCCAGAGCTTGTTGATGCCTTCATCAAGAACTACACAGATATGTATCAAACCGTGCGAGCCAACAGGAAGGATATGCCACCCGAGTTTTTTGCACCTAAGCTGAAGAGAGATGACGCGCACGCCGAAGAGCGTGGTGACTCTGTCGCTCTCCAGCGGCGAGACAATAAAGTTGTCACTGTAATAAGCACTCTACACAGTCCAGAAATAGAAGAGTTCTCGGACACAGGAGGACGAGACGTAGTCAAGCCTAGCACTAAGGGGGAGTGCAACCACATAATGAGGGGAGTAGGCAAGTGCGACCAAATGCTTGCTAACTACCCTGTGACAAGGAAAGGACAAAATATATGTTAAAAATTGTTTCTTCAGCTGGTGAATGAAGCCGCATACAACTCCGTAATTTTTTTAATAGAAAGATGGAGGAAAGATGACCCACATGGACTAACCATTTTCCCCTTGTTGAGAGAATCATCAACAAGTACCCCGACGCCTCAAAGACGACGAACTAAGCGCGGTCATCTCACCAGCCTGCTTGATAATGACTGCCTCACTGGCCGCCACTAACCCGCCCACATTCCACCAATAAAAAAAAAAAAAAAAACAGCCAACCCGAAAGTGCGTTCTCTGCTGCAAGAAGATGTACGAAAGTAAAAAGAAGCTGAGGAAGGAGACAGGGTTTTGGTGCAGCAAGTGCGAGACGTTTGTTTGTCCCCTTATTTCTGTGACTTCTTAAACCTTTTCCTTTCAAGTTTCCCTCGCAGTATCAGTATTTCAACACCATGATCTACTTGTATGTGTACTTCTGTGTTTCGAGCTGTATCATACACTCCGGAACCTGCCTTAGGGGTCCGACAACCCTTCCTTTCTATTTCGCTTATTTTTGTTTTTACTACGAGTTACTTGAATGGATTTTAAAAGCAAGAAAAAATATAATCAATTTCAGTCAAATGCTCTCATTTGCTCTCTCATTCAATCATCATGAAATCCCTTATATATGTGTGGAATAACTTAAATCATAAGAAAAAATGGAAAAAAAAACGGTGTAGCATTTAAAATTGCCAAAAATTGAAAACGGCTAAGGGGTTCATGTTCTTAGTTAGGCTTGTATATAATATTCCTAAGGCATCCGTGAAAATTGATTTGATATCTACGAATAATCATCTGGTGTCCGAGGAATCGTCCGGTACCAAAGCACTTTCATTTGTTTTTAAAGTATAATTATCCGATATCCAGGAAAATCATCTGGTACCCATATATAAGCAACTAGTATTCAAGGATAATTTTCTAGTGTCGAGTTATATTTCTGTTTTATCAAGAATGCTCCTAAAGTACTCGAAGAAAATTCGTTCTTAGCCTCAGGAATTTCCCTTGTACTTCTTCAGAACTTCTGAATGGTTCTCAGATAAATATTTACTATGCGAAGGAACTTCTCAGATGTATGTGAAGAGAATCTTTAAAGGGTCTCTGCTAAGCCTTTAGTACTTTTCTTAACTACCGCTAAGAATTAATCACTGACGTTTGCAAACTAACAGATGCGTGTTTATTTTCTCTCCACGCGCCACGGCGGACGCAGGCAAAATTAGACCAAAACAATCATCATCCACTCCCTCAACTCACATCCGGAACAAGCGGCGACACGAGGTTGCGCCGGTAATGTTTATCGTAGCCACGCGCCGGGGCTGGCAAGGCGCAGGTCACGTGTTGGGTTCCACTACAGTGCCCTAGAAGTTGGATAGTGGGCCCACCGCTCTATCTCCCCCGTGTATTGCGCTGAAGCGGCCGACGTCGAAATCGCCGGAGGCGCAGCAGTAGATGCCTCCTGAAACTTCTCCCGCCCGCTGCCCGCGATTGGTCCGCCCGCTGCCCGCGATAAGAGCCGCTTAGCTGACTAGGTGCCCTAACCTTGACAATTGGCGAGAAAGACGGCGAGAAATGTGACGGCTATGATTGGCCAGCGCCAAGGTCAAGTGCGGCGTCGGCCAATCACAGCCGCCAGATTTCTCGCCGACTTTTTCGCCGAGTGTCCAGATTAGGGCCCCTGGCCTGGCCGATTTGCGCTGGAAAGTTTCAAGAGGGAACGCTTAGAGCGCCAGCGCCGCGTCGACATCAAACGCATCAGGCCGAGCCCTCCCGTGAGCCGCCTAGAACTCTTTAGGCCACCGTAGTTTCACACACAAGGGGTTAACTCTAGTCAACCCCAATCGGTGGAAGGACGAGAATATATTCTCGTCGTTGTACGGATTGGACAGGAGCGACTACTCGTATCTTCCTCTAGACGTTGAATGTGACGAGCTCAAATCAAGTGCTTACGCAGCGCTCGTCTCTAATCTACGAGTTACATTAAAAATAGTCACTCTGGGTGAATCCCGTTAATCCCGATGGCTCCGCGTCAGCACCGCGACCGCCGTGATGCCTCGTCAGGTTTGGTGAAGGAGCCTGAAAAAAAAGGACCGATTTCATCGTTGGATTACTCCTCGACTAAGAAGCCTTTCGGTCATTGGCGTTGCGTGAAAATGTGCATTTACCCGTTGTTTACAAAAAAGCCCGTATATGGCCACAACAATTATGGTCACTGCGCTTGCGCAGAAACCAGATGTGCATGACGTATAGGGCAGGAGATCGAACTATAGGGGGCGCTCTGACCCGTTTGTTTTCCCCACGCTCGGTGTTTACTCAACACAAGGCCTGTGCACATGCCGACAGGCCTTTTGGGCATGTCCATGTCATCTTTTACAATAGAGCGCGGGGCACAGTTTAATGTAAAAAATACAAACAGTCGACGAAGCGACGTTAAGTGCCGGATCTATCCTCAGAGAATGGGAGCTTGAGCCACTTCGGCTTTTGTGCTGAGCTGGGACCGTGCACGCTGCATTGTTCATGCAGGCCGTAGCGGAAACAAAAAAGCCCCTCCTCCCCCTCACCGGAGAACACGAACTCCAGCCGAGCGCTGACGCCGCGTTCGGTTATGTCGGCCGAGCGCTGAGTCATTGTATTTGTTGTCCCCATCCGTGTAGTTCTAAAGTTAACCGCTTGGGGCGTCACGGTCTGTCCTCCTCCCCAGTAGCGTCCGACCACTCGCAGAGCCGATACCAGCGGCACCGCAGTGGCGCCACTTTAGAGAATTGAATTGGTGTATCCTTGGGCCCTTTTAGGGCAAGTAGAGAGATGTGTAACGTCAGCAAAGCCCCATACATCCGCATGTGCATTTAAGCGACGCGTGTTTTTTCCGTCACTCACCCGTGAACAAGGGGCAGAACTGGTCTCGAAACGTCGGGTAAATGTTTATTAAACTATTGGCTAAAGTCTTTATTTTTCGCTTAACGGCATTTCTAGGTCAAACAGGAACTCCAGAAGCACCGGTATCCTTGTGTGAAGTGATAAACGGGGGCCGCAGAGCATAGGACTTCCCTAGCAGCTTCGGACGTCTTACAGCACATGCGCAAAAGTGCTGCTCAAACGGAGTGCTACGCCTCAAGCTGCTCGGCGCCTTTTAGGTGTTCGCGATAACCAGAGAATGCAATACACGCACACTCACCAAGTCGACCGGTGGCGTGAACACCTCTCGGATTTCAGCGAGATATTTGGCTTCACAAAACCGACGCAGACCTGAAAATACTCCAACTGTGGGCGGCTACACGCGTGTACAGCACTCTACCAGCGAAGTGCCTGATCTTCCATTTACGAGCATGCAGGTGGAAAACACTACACGTGCTTCGTGCGCATTGCACTAGATTGGGATGTTAGCGAATTCGACCGCCGAACACACGCAGCTGCGCTTGGCGTTGCCTTTAAACGGCTCAGTCAGGTAGGTGGCTAACTTTCCCGATTTGTGTGGATTGCCAAAACAATTGTCCCGTGATGCGGTTGGGTGGATGCCAGAGGCGGGGTATTATAGCGGCGTGCTAAAAAAGAGAGTATATGCAACCCACTGCAGCTTAAAATATCGTTTGACGATTCCATACTCGGTATTGAAAGCGTGCGACAAGAGAGTGGCGGTGATGCGCGTCTCTTGAAGTCCGACTGCAGCCGGTGCAACGGTTCGCAGGAACCAATCAAGCCGTCCCAAAAGTGCATCGTCACGGCCCCCATCGTCCTATATCCGCGTTTGCTCTATTCGCGTATAGGTCACCTGATCAATTTGTCCGCTAAATCTATTGAGAAAACTTAATAGACAATTTGCCCAGGGTGCAGCGCCCTTCGCGGCGCCGAAAGGAATTTCGGGAACACATGGCTGGTCACGTGACGTGAATTTCGCCGCTAAATTTAGAGCGAAATGCACGGAGAGACGGACGTACAGGGGGACAAATTTCTGGGATTACGGGATTTCAAAAAATTCCACGCTTTAAAAAGATATTTCAAATAATACCCCACATTTATATCAACGTTCCGATTAATAAAAAAAAGAAAAAAAAAACCGAAGAAAGGCACCACAGCTGCCGCCGCAGCTGTGGTGCGGCTCACTGTAGGAAAGAGTGTGCTATTGGTGCTATTCTGAAACGTTGAAAATTATTTGCAGAAACCAAAATACCTGTGTGTATGTGTGTGTGCGTGTGCGTGCGTGTGGGTAAGCGTGCGAGCGTGCGTGTGTGTGCGTGCGTGCGTGTGTCTTTCTATGTGTGTGTGTATGTGTTTGGTGCGTTTGGACATTAATACAGCGGAAACTGACGTAGTATTTACGACTCTGTGCATCGCTCGCGCACAGGATATGGAGAGGGTACGGGCGAATAAAGCCGAGTTTTCTGTATTTTTCTCTGCGTTCCTATTTCGTTTTGGTTGGATCGGTGGAAAGTCTCGATTACAATTCTAAAACTGCAGTCATACTGCTCATACATGATAGAAAAAACACGGCGCTCGCTGCAGGCGTGATGCAGAATTCTCTCTGCGTACACCTCACGCCTGTTCAAAACATGTTTACTTCATACGCTTCTATGCTTCGAATAATAGAGTTGTTATAACGTGCGCTAGAGGTTCGACTGACCCTAGTGTCTATGGAACTTCCGGGAGGCAAATTAGAGCAGACAGCAACCAGTACATTTTTGCGGTCCTCCTGTGCATTGCTATTGGAAAACGTGCGTGCATTTTGACTCTTCTACGAAAAATGACATGGAACACTTTTGTCATTTGGGTAGTACCGAATAGTTTGTACGTTTATTAACATTGTAAAAGTGCAAATGCCTTTGTTGACAAATTTTTCTTTATCAGTGTACGATGTTTCACTTCGCTATATTTCAGGCCCAAACCTGTGTTCCATAGCAGGAGTGTAAACACAAGCGACGATTCTAAGCAAAATAACTACCGAAAGGAATATAGAGTCTGTCTAAAGCTTGTCAGCATTCGTGTGACGCTAATATATTGCTAATATGGCAGTCCTGTCACTACATAAAAATGACCCCGTCTTGAATCTTTGCAACCGGTTAAAAACATTAAAAACTTAAAGAAAAGTGTACGTGGGCAATGAAAGGTGTCGCGTTTTATTATTTTTTCATGCCGGGCAGATTTTATCGGGCACTTCTGCTCAAAGATTTCGGTCGTGCGAGTAATATTTTCAACGTACAACAAACATCTTCGCAGAACAGAAAGAATAAAGCAGAAAAGGAATTGAAAACTCTACTATAATACGTGGCCTTCAATTCATTTTCATCGTACATACACAGGGAGTTTCTGACCCAGTGTTACTGAATCGTTCTTGCGTTCATTTGGCGCCTCCATCCCCCATGCTGAAAAACGCCGACGTCGTGTTCGCGCTAACAGTGTCCGACAGTGCTCGTAAATACGTGTACGAAGCCGTTTAGCACCGTTTAGCAGTGAATTGAACAGAAAAAGGCCATAACTGGCCAAAATCAAAAAGTCGAATTGGAAGTTTAGTGTGTGTAGAACGCAAGGTCGGTCTGCCATAATGGGGCGACACTGCTTTACACTGCAATTTGGCCAGTTTAGTACGACGGAAAACCTGGGGTCTTGAACGTGCTCACGCAGTAGTGACACACGACCGAACGCCAGTACGATTCTCATCCAGATCGAAACGAGCACGGGTGCGGCTCGAACCCAGGATCCCTGGGTTCTGCCAATGCGAGCTTTCGCTCCAAATGCGCCGAGCTGGGTTTGCGCTTTAGCCCACTCAACAACCGATTCCTTTTTTTTTTTTTAACAATTGTTAATTTACAGGCTAAAGACATAAGTAGCAAGAATGGAAAATTGAGGTATATAGTATACATATGTTGGAGCAAAAAAGGAACGTCACATAATTTATACATTGCATTCAATGACCCAGGTGCAAAGTAAATCACTTAAAACTTACAACATTTATTTATTTATTTCGTTATTAGAGTACCTACATCGCCTAGAAGGCATTACAGTAGGGGGGGGGCACAAAAATAACATACAAAATATACATCGTTATACACGAAAAAAAGAAGAAAACACTACTACACTTATAAAGACTAAATCATATGAAAATTTAAACAATTGATTGAATTTTCTCAAAGAACAGCTCTGGCATCAAAGTTTCTACAATGTCATTAGGAAGCTTATTCCAATCCTCAACAGACCGTGGAAAAAAAGAGAATTTAAAAACATCAGTTCGGCACTTATATGGACGGATCTTTTTTGAATTGTCAACCCTTAAAGACACATAAGCAGGTTCTAGAAGATGTGTTGATTTACATATACCAGTATTATTGTGGAAGATGTTATGCATAAGTTTTAGACGAAGGCACTGACGTCTGTGCCTCAGCGGCGGTCCAGCGATGACTTCAGTTCAGTTACACTTGTCCTGAAATCATAATTTCCCGTAGCAAACCTTGCAGCACGTTTCTGTATTTTTTCAATCTGCTCCTCCAAGTTGAACCTATAGGGGTCCCAGATTGTACACGCATAATCAAGAACTGATCTAACAAGTGAAAAATATAAGGTTTCTTTCAGTGACGAGGAGGCCAATCTACAATTACGTTTAATGAAACCTAGCGATCGACTAGCCTTGGCGGTTATATGGTCAACATGTTTATTCCAACTTAAATTTGACGAAAAAATAACTCCTAAATATTTAGTTTCATTTAAAAGGATGAGGGGCAATCCACCAATGGTGTATGAAGAAGGGAAGAAATTTGTTTTTCATGTGAACCTGATATAGACACATTTCGATATATTCAAAGACATACACCATTGAAAACACCAAGCTTCAATCCTGTCCAAAACACTTTGAAGAGCAAGGGCATCAGCATTACGTGAAACATCTGCGTACAAGACGCAATCATTGGCATATAATCTTATTTTAGAAGAAACTTTTTCGACCAGATCATTAATGAAAATTAAAAACAGGAGAGGTCCGAGTACCGATCCCTGTGGGACACCAGATGTAACTTGGACTGACGGGGACCGAATCCCATTAATTACTACAGACTGTTTCCTGTAGCTTAAGTAGTCCCCTATCCAACAAAAAATTTTGGAATCAATGTTTTGTTTCCGAAGCTTAAACATGAGGAGAGCATGTGGAACCACATCAAAGGCCTTATTAAAATCTAAAAATATGCAGTCGACCTGTTTTGCCCTATCGAATGACAATGCCAAGTCATGATAGAATTCAGTTAACTGAGTAGTGTAGGATAAACCAGAACGGAAGCCATGCTGAGCTGGAGTAAAAAAATTAATTTGGGCAAGGTGACTCATGAGACTGGTGTGAATCACGTGTTCCACGACTTTACAAGATTCACTCGTAAGAGAAATTGGCCTGTAATTAACGACTAGATTTTTGGGACCAGACTTGTGAATCGGGACAACATTTGCAGTTTTCCAGTCATGTGGTAATACACCAGTCTCCAAAGACACTGTAAATATAATGGTCAATTGACGGGAGATAACATCAGCACAGGACTTTAAAACAGTGTTCGGGATATCATCGGGACCAGACGCTGAACCTTGCTTTATTTTGGTTAAAAGCTTAAAAATACCATGCACGTCAAAATGAATTTCAGACATGCGAACCACAGGATTAACCGTTACTTCGGAATGATCATAATCACACGTAATGACATCCGAAAATACAGACCTAAAGTAGTTATTAAAAGTGACAGCCTTTAAGTTGTCATCGGTGACAATGTCACCACTGACACTAAAAGGTGGGACGCCCAAGGTATCCTTACGATTTGATCGAATGAACTTCCATAACTCCTTCGGGTTCTGTTTAAGAAGAGTATTTAGCGTCGCGAAGTAATTTGCTCGGGACGAAGTTATCGCATGCTTGAGGGCAGCTCCTATCTCAATTAATTTTCTGTAAGATGCAGAGTCATGGCGTGTGCGGTATTGTTTCAGGGCACGTTTATTTTTATTTGTTAATTTGCGCAATTCAGAATTAAACCATGGTTTGTCACGACGTCGCTTGGACAAAATAATTCTAGATGGAACGAAAGTTTCAACAAGGGTTGATAATCTCGTTTTAAAAACGTTCCACAATAAATGCACGTCACCCGATACGCTTAATTCTTCGAAAGCCGGAAAATATGAACTTAGGTTATTCGATAGGCCAGTATAATCACCCCTATCGAATAAGTACACTTTCTTAGGACGAAACGAAAAATCATGTTTAAAAGAACAAGCCAAATTAGCGACCACAGCCATATCCCTTTCAGTCACGAATTTTCAAATTGTAGTTCAAAAATTTTTTATCTTTACAGAAGTTCTTTATTCTAGCCTCATGACTTCAAATACACAAACTTGAGCTCTTTCTGAATAATGGTAATTAACTGAGGATGCGTGCTCATATGTACACAGTGTGACTCAAGGCTACCTTTATGGGCTCAACACTGGTCAAAAAAATTTATTCCATTACTCAAAAACATGTGTTAATGCCATACTTAGGCATCAAAGTGACATCATGGGTTGTGGTAGAGAAAAAAACAGTCATTTTTTGAACTAATGCAGAGAAAGATGTCACACTTGCGGCACCGCACTCTGGTCTTGGAGGCACACTTCTCGTACCTGCACCTCTGAGGGAAAGGGGCCTCAACTTGCTGAGGCCAGTGATCTTTCCCATCATACCTCACAGCATTTGGTGGCGATGGTCGTGCGTTGTGAGCTTGTCGGACTGGTGCTTGGAATTCGGCGCTTGGCCGGCCTCGTTTCTTCTGCACTTCTTGGTTCTGCTTGATGAGGCTCAGAGCCACTTCGGTCTGAAAAGACATCATGTCGTGTGTCTTGCTTCGTGCGAGGCCCTCGTGGCTCGCGTCTCGCACATACTCAAGCCACGAATTGGCAAGGGCTAACGACACAAAGTGTGACAGGACTCTCACGGTCCACTTTCTGGTTTTAGCACGCATGGGGTAAAGTGCCATGACAAAATCAAGTTTGTCCACGCCACCCATGAATCGATTGTAGTACAAGATTGCCTCTGGGCAGGGGATTTCAATCCTCTCTTTGGCAGCTACACTCCACCTCTTAGCCACACCAACTTCACCAGCGCCGACCTGGGTTGAAGCAATATTTACAACACCATTGTCGAGCCATCTCACCAGCACGACATCACCTTCTTCGATGACTTTCTCGTCCATGCTTCCTCTTCCCTCTTTCTTCAGCTCCTTCTCAGACTTCAAGCTGCAACCCATTAGGCGGTTACCCCTGATTGTCCCTGTAGCAAGGATGCCCAGAGCTTTCAGTTCTCGAAGGAGACCAATTGACGTAAAGTAGTTGTCGAAAAAAAATTTCAGGTTTTTGTGCGTCGGCACTGCTTCGGACAGCCTCATTACAACAGACCCCCCTAGCCCTAGGTGAGCATGAGTGGAGTCAACACCTGTGCCTTTGCCCTGATATATCTCAAAATCATGGGCAAGTCCGTCGTGGCTGCAGCGTACAAACACTTTCACACCTTCCGGATTTGGCTTTGACTTGATGACTTGCTTTGCGGCAACTTTTCCCGTAAATGGAATCATTTGCTCGTCAATACTCGAGTGTTCAAGAACTTCAAGCTCCAAGCAGCGGCGCTTCACTACGTCAATCAGTGGGCGCACTTTCCAGAACTTGTCGGTGCTACTCGGATCCCGAGTACTTGCATCTGTGATGTGTACAGCAGATCTGAGTTTGAAGAATCTGTTGATTGGCATAGCATCCGCTATCACTGCGATCCGTGTTCTGGGGTTCCAGTACATACGAATCCTGGGAAACTTCAAGACAGCCATGTACATCATCATCCCGAAGAACACCTTCATTTCTTGCGGCGTAGTTCCAAGCACTGACCCGGTTTTCTGAAGATGGTACCTGTTTGTGTACTCCGCGAGATCCTCGAACACTTCGTCTGGAAGGTACCGGACAAAATATTCTAAAGGTTCAGTTGGCGACTGATACTCCATTTCGACATGAGTGCAGAGTATGCTTCCCGGATTGAAGTCTCTTGACACCCAGTTCACTGTTTTTTTTCGTTTCTTCGGCGCTTCCTCTGGAGCATCTTCATCTTCGGACAGGCCACTTTCCTCAGCAGCACCAGCAGCAGCACCGCTAGTGGATGGTTCTCCAAGGTCATGGTCCTGAACACAAATACAAATAGGGGCAACAAATTATGTGATATCACTCAGCAGCTCTTGCAAAAAACTTACCGAAGCCACAACCTCTGATGACACCAGCTCATCGTCGGAGAGATCGGCATCTGACACATTGCCGTCGGTGATCGCTAGAAATATCGCTTCAGCTGCAGTCACTGATGCCTTTCGTCTTTCTCTTGCGTGTTTCTCGATGGCTGTTGGCAGAAATAGAAACAATTTGATTGTCGTGCACAAATAGAGCATGCGGGTGTCTGTGCACTGAGGCAAAGCCCGAAGTACTGATTGAGTCACGCTGTGTACGCTTGTGCACGCTCATGAACGTGCTTCGGTATTCACTTAATACGACTAGTGCGAAGCACGTGTTTGGTATTTTATGGAGGAGAATATGTTTTTCTATTAAAATACGGCACTCTTATGTCTACGGGAGCGATGATACTCGTTCAGAAACAAAATTCGAACAGGCACTTACCGGAGCTTCCATAGAACGTGGAGGCGTCCATCTTGAATGCGTGATTCTAGTCATGCTTCGAGCTCCTGGAGCTAGATGGCGCCACATAATGGCTAAAAAGGTCTCGAATATAAGCCTCAGCAGCGCGAGGTGTGATTTATGGCATCTAGCGCGAACAAAAAGGCTAAAACAATTGCGTGTACATACGGAGACACAGTGACTGAAAGGGATATGGTCACTAATCGCAGGAATGACTCTTACAGCTGTAATAGCCGAATCGTAATTACTGAAAAGAAGACCTAGAGGACTCGAGCGGCTGGGAGAAATTCTCGTGGGCTCGTTAACAAACTGTTTAAGACTGTAGTCGTTAATGAGATTAATAAAAGCTGCGTATATACCAGAAGAGCTAGCAGTTAAAGGCCGGTGATCGATCCATTGGATTTCAGGTAAATTAAAGCCGCCACCAATAACAACAAAACCGTCTTCGACCACTAACAAAGCATTATACAAAGAAAAAACTGGGCTAGCATCACTTGCTGGCGGCCTATAGAAACAGCCTACTGAAAGGTAGTTGCCATTTTCAAGGTAGACGCGGCACCAAACCGTTTCACAAGATAAGCCATTGAAATCAATCTTGCAGCTTTTTAAACTTTCATGAATAAGCGAAAAGACACCACCACCTGAAACACTCCTGTCTTTACGATACACTCTGAAATACACTGGAAAAACTTCCGAATCGGGTATAGACTGATCGAGCCAAGGTTCTGTCCCAATAACAATGCTAGCACCAGTGACCAAAGATTAGAGCATCAAGATCGTCAGTTTTGTTTCTAATACTTCAACAATTTACATTTAGAACGATAATATTAGTAAGAGGTGCGACTACATTCTGACGAGGGCTTTTTGATTGTTAGGCAGCAGTATTTTTTACGGACCTAGTGACTGCACCAACGTAAAAGGATTGGTCACCAATACGTAAGCGGTTATATTTGAGTTGAAATCTGCAATTTTTTTGACATTGCAAACTCTAGAAGAATTTTCCGTTCACTTCGAATTTTAGGTGAAAAATCCTCGCTAAGTGAAAATGGAGTGTTCTTTAGCCTCGATCCAAGGGACAGAATATCTTGTTTCTGCTTAAATGATGAGAATTTCGCAATGAGAGACCTGTTACGATTCGCTCTGAAAGCTCCCAGCCTATGCGCACGTTCCAAGCCCGAAGAATTAATTTCAACTCCTAGAACTTCCTGGCAAAGGGAGACAACTTTAGCCTCCGAGGCGGTCCAGGTTTCGCAATGGGAGTCAGTTATTCCATAAAAAAATCAAATTCGACCTCCTTGGTTGACTTTCGAGGTTATCACACTGCGAGGATAGACTCTTAATTTGCGCGGCCATAAGGCTCGTAGAGATATTAAGGTGATCCATATCAACCCGCAACTGTGGTAGCGAAGCCAAATTGACTTCGACAGCCGTTAGTCTGTTCGTTAATTCTCCTACCTTTTCGTCTAATGAGTTCTGGTTATTTTTTATTGTCTTTAACTCATTAAGAAGCTCTGTTTGACCCGCCTGTAGTTCAGGAAGAATAGCCAGACTCTGCAACATAAGCTGTTCCTGAGCTTCCGTGAGGGGACCCGGGTTAGATTCAACGTCCCCAGCAAGCAATAGTAGCAACTTGGCACAATCAAACAAAAAACAAAACACACTGCTTGGGCACAGCAGCAGGACAAGGCATCTATCATCAGATCGAAACATAGAGACGTTGTATTTACTAACCTGCATAGACAGAAGTGGATTAAGTGACATCCTGTCGGCGGCCCTGCCACTGTGCTCACTGAAGACGTCCGCCGACGGTCGTTTCTTTATATGCTCCCAAAATACTGTAGATGATGATGATGATGCCAAGGCCAGGCCTGACGCGTCGATGCAAGGGACGGTAAATTCCGAAAAGGGAGGCGCTTCTTTGTCGATAAACCGATTCCACGTGTTGGCCCAATCTTGCAGACATGACGAAGGGGTTAGATTGCCGTTGACGAGCTTGTAGTGCTGACCGGTCGTGGAAATGATACCAAGAAGCAGCAACAGCTGCATAGACAGAAGAAGTGGATTAAGTGACATCCTGTTGGCGGCCCTGCCACTGTGCCCACTGTGCCCACTTGTTAAACAGTGCAATAACCTCAGCTCTGGATGTGTATTACACTCAAAGTTCTTAAAATATATATTAGAGTGAGGCACGTCCGAAGGCGACGGATAGTCTGTCGAAGCATAAAAATTTAGTGCTACCTTCTGAACTTTCTCCAGAGTGTTTCTCAGATTTTTTTTAACTGGTTCTAAAGTTTTAATAGTCCAGTCCAATTTGTTAGCGAAGTGTCGCCACGCAGGTTTAGGGTTCAGTGATCAGTCTGTCGTGTCTACTTTTGGCCGCCATAGTGCATGTAATGCATGTAGGCCTAAAACCGCGATTATTTCTGTGAGGTCAGTCAGAGTCCTTTTGTCGTGCAGGCATTGGAATTTCAAAGTACACAAACTAATTGACTCTTCAGGTCCTCGTGGCCGGACAGGATCGAATCCTGCTCGGGGATGGGAGCTTTACGGGATAAAATTTCGTTCGCCTCTTCCTCCTCCTCTTTGACTCTGCCCTCTCCTCTTTATATGTAGAGCCAGGATCTGACGAGCAAAGAAGTTTTTATAGCTTTCTTTTTTCAAGCATTCCTTTGTCGCTGGATTCACCCATCTCGGACGCCTCCTCTTCTGACTTCATTAGCTCTTCCGCTTGATCTTCAGACACAAAAGCGCTGAACAAGTTGGTGGTGACAACATTGATCACTGTCTTCTTCGTTGCAGAGCGTGAAGACGCCGACCTCTCTTCGCGCTTCTCGGTCTGTGAGGCTGCTTCTACGTGGGCTGTGCTGACCGGTGCCGAAACCTTTGTTTGTGCTGTTTCTTCTGAGTCCATCAAGTATTCTGTAGGAGTCTTGAGAGGTCCAGCTGTTAGGTTGGCGTACGCTTGAATACAGTATTCGGTATCGTGGCCGAATTTTCGGCATGCGCTACACCAGAGAGTGCGGCACTGGTCTTGGACGTGTCCAACTTGCCTGCATCGCAGATATTGCGGTGCTCTGCCAGGCACGGAGACAAGGGCGGCGGTTCCCAGAATCTTGAGCTGATGCGGCAAGCTGTCCGCAGTCGCCCAGGCGTCATTCAAATCAATCGACAGTATTCTTGTGGTCGTCTTTACTTCTTCGAAGCAGGAGTAGTGCCACTTGTTTTGAACGATGTTTTTTTTTTTGTTTTGTTTTTTTCCAAACGTAGAAAAACCACCTGCTACGTTTGCCTCTGGGACGCTAGTTGGAACCCAGTGCACCTTCATGGACAGCGCAGTCTTGCTCCCGACTATTAGGAAACATGCCTTGCTCTTTACTTGGGTCTCTCGGAAATGCAGCAGTCTTTCTTTTTCTTTGGCAGAATGCACTGTGAGCAGCCACATATGATTGCACTGGAAGGCCCCAAGCGAAGCTAGCTCGTTTGGGTTGAAAGTTATTTTCAGAGCAGGACCGAAATCGTCGATGCGGCATGGCCGGGCTGATGGGTCCCCATGAAGAACCAGCGAGTTTTCAAGCCGCTTACCGTTGGGAAAAGGTGGCAGTAAAATCTTGTACTCCGTTGTAGTTGGCGCAGAGCGGTCAGAAGCAGAAATGGTTTGAGAATATTCTCGGCTGGGCTTAGCCGTTGAGGTATTCTTTACGGAGCCCCTCTCCAACGCGGCCATTTAGCTCGTTGTCTCCTCAGTCATTGATTCCCCCCTCCCCCCTTCCCCCCCCCCTCCACGTAAGTGGACAAATATTTCGTCCGCATGACTGGCAAACGTCCCAAGCAAGCTAATACGTACGAATCATTCGGGATATTTGCTCTTAAAATCGCGCGCAGGGAGAAAATGCACTTGTTTTTTTTTTCCTATAGAAATGCATTACCGGAAGTCGATTTTTGACCGGTTACTGTCTGCTTCAAATTGTCACAACAGACTAGCTCCATTTGAGCCTCTAGCGTACGTTAAAATAACTCCATGTTTCAAACATGTCTGGAGGCAGTTTTATTATGATTGATGTGCCAGGAGCGTCATAGAGGAAAGAAAAATGTCAAAGGCAGTCTCTGCAGGCTGTACTTCGTATGAGCGTCTGAGCGGGTATTGGACACGAGGGCCGCGTAAGCCTTCGGCGTGAAGCTGGTTCGGCTCGCACTGAAAACGAGTAGGCAGTCAGTGAGGACTCGGCTAGGCTCGTACTGCAAACGAGCGCAGCGTCGGTTTTCGGTGAGGGCTCAGATCTAATCACAGGCTGCGTGTCTAAGAAACGGCGACTGCCAATGTTGCTTCATGGGGTTTGAAAAAAGCTTTTCTTAGAGATAGTTATCATTCAAAAAGAAATTTATAGCTAATTGCTGGGCAATTGTGGTGCCTACGTTAAACGTTTCGCATCACGAACGCTTAGCGATACTCTGAGTTGCCAAACGCCACACGCTACGTTAACGGCGCTCTTCACGAGATAGTTTAACGCGTACCATGTGTACACTTGATACTTGTTTCTAGAATAAAGCAATACTGCTGCTAATGGACCTTGGCAGTTTGATACTTTAGACCCATGTTCCGGATAAAAAAAACAGGACGTGGGATGGCCAAAAAAACATGCTTTTCGTGCAAGGCTCGTCAAATTATGAGGCGCTGGAGAAATGCAGCCTTCTGCGTTAAGTCCTTATTTCGAACTCTTTTTGTTCGCCTTCCGCCCATTGAAAAGCATGCGGGAAGGGCCTTAGAACGCACCTGGTATCGCTGCGCCGCAGCGTTCTTCCGCATCAAAAAGTTCGTCTGCTTTCCTCGCCGTCACCATGGCAACGAACGCCGAATGAATAGAAGCACGCACGGTACCGCCGCGTGAAGCCAGCAACAGCTGACGCCATTTTACGAACGCCGTCTGCTAGCCGCAGCCGAAAGCGGTGTGTCAGATCAACCGCTTCCGCCGGTGCGCCGCCAGCAAAGACGACGAAGCTAAGACACGCCGACGGCGATCGAGCAAGCAACAACACCGCGGGGCGACTGCAACGGCGGCATTTATTCGGATCAAAGGCCGCCTTCGCCGGTGCGCCGCTAGCAAAGACGACGAAGCTGAGGCACG